TCCTGTCCCCACAAATCCATGGGAGAGGACTGGGAACCAGCACAAGGGAGGAGGTTCCAGCATCCATCACCCCCCACAGCAATGCCAGTGGAAGCCACAAATAAAATCCTGTGTGATGGTGCTTTGGCCAAACTTTGCTTTTGCTCTCCCGTGGCAGTAAACAAGGGATGATTCAGGCAAGAGGCTCGAGGGCAAAGGCACCTCTGGCACTGGGGAACAGGAGCTGCTTTCTGTGCAGGGCACAGGGGGACGCAGGGGTGGGGTGGGCACAGACGGGCCCTGTCCTGCACCCACGAAAATAAAACAGGTGGAGGTGAAAAACACAAGTGGATGGTCCTGGAGCCTGACTCTGCCAGGCTGAGCTGGACTTGGGCTGCAGAGGGAGGTTTAACCGGGGGCTTGGTCTTTGACACGCGCTGGGAAGGGAACTTAAAATAACCAGGGCTGAGCGGGAAGAGTGGGCTGGAAGCAGGAGAGATGGAAGAAGAGCAGACTGGAGACATGGAAAACAGGTCTTGGATAAAATGGGAATTGTGCCCCCTCCCTAAAAAACCTCACATGGTGTTGACTTCCCATTCACCCTTCTCCAGTGCCCTCACCTGCCTGTGCCCTGGTGCTTCCACCGAGCTGGCACCAAGTGGCACCAAGGATGAACCGCAGTGCCTGGGGCTGCCCAGAGCTGTGACGGGCCAGCAGGGACCCGGGCAGGGGCTGAGCCTGCAGGGACCCAGCAGCAGCAGCAGCAGCAGCAGCCCAGCAGTGTCCAACAGCAGCTGGGTTCTCTGGGATTGCAGCAGGATGCAACGCGCTCGCCTTGGCGCTCCCCATTTCACTGCATTCCTCAGATTAAACTGTTTGTAAATCAAAATCACGCTCTGGCTCTGGAGAGTGGCAGCCAAAGGCAGCCAGGAATCCCCCCCCTCTAAGTTAGGGAAAATAGCTTCCATTTTTTAGGAGAGCCTTCAACTCACAGGAGCCCAAAGCTCTTCTAAAAGAGACACTTTGAACCCGAGCTCAGCAGTGTGGTGCTCCCCAGCAACATGGGTGTCAGGGCAGGAGTGGGGGGGACCAGCCCACCTGACAGCCCCCACTGCAGCCACCCACCAGCACCACGGTGGGAAATCAGGATTTTGGGCGGAACAGCCTGCCTGTGGATGTTCAACGACCAAAACCCTCCTGGGTGCCCACTTGGGGTT